ACCCCACTTTTGGTTGCTTTTTTTAAAAAAATAAATAAAATCCGTAAGAAAAACAGGTTGTTCTATCAAATCTAAACCTTAAATAGGCGAAATGCCGTTTATTAAGGAAAAAATTGAAGTCTTTTTGTCAATATTCTAGAAAACAGCGAGTCATTTATTTTGATGTCGTTATCATTGATTGTAATGTAGTTGTGGTGGAAACTGAAGCTCTCGTTCAGATATAATTTTATGTAAGAATTTTTAATTGTAGCAGAAAAAGTTAAATGTGATTTTTTTGTAAGAACTTTTAACTGTAGTAAAACTGAAATTGAAAACTCGAATTGGTGAAGTGTGTGTAGTTTTATTTTGATGTCGTATCTTCACAACCTAGTGAACATTATGTTGTCTACTTAACTTGAAAACGACACATTGGGCAAGTCCTGTAGTTATTTACTTATTCCTATTTCCTAAATTCCTAGTAATAACTATCAAAAACAAAAAGAAATCCTAGTAATCGACGTAGGTTATTTTGATGTCGATATCAACCTGACGAGGACGACATGTCACTTATTTATTATCATTTTTACAAAATTAAGTCGTTTATTCATAGAATTCCGAGCTCCGAGACCTCACTGAGACCTCACTCAAATACATGCATGTTACGCAAAATGATAAAAAAACGACATGTCGTTTATTAGGGACAATAGGAAAAAAGCAAAAGATTGAAACAATAAACGGCAAGAATTCTGAAATTCGGTTTAGAAAGAAACTAGTATTACAAAAGATTTAAATTTAGGTCACGGGAAGTATTAATTTAGATATAATAATAATAATTTTTTAAGAATTATTATTTTAGATATAATTATCAGAAGAATAAGTGATAAGTGTATTTCGGCTAGAAGGGGAGAAAAAACTGGTCTCTATTCGTAAGGAAAAAACCTTTTTATGTACCATTAAATCGTCATATGGCCAAATCGACTAGGAAATTACAAGTACGTCCATATTGAACAATTTCACATCTGATCCATTTAGGCAATAAAAGTGTGAAACAAAAGCATATATAACAATACAAACAGTTGCTTAATTATTTTATCCAAAAACAAAATATTACTTCTTTTTATAACAAGAACACAATTTCTTTCTGTGGAAGTCCAATCTGATACATATACGAGCAAAAGCAAACTAACCAAGTGAATGAATTTATTGCTTGCTCAATCCGTACTATATATATTGTTGGGATTTGTTTCTTAAATTCTGTATTGATTCAAATCGCTTAATAATTGGCATTATTTTAGGAATGATTAACTGGTTAATTTTGATTGAGAATAGATTGGCAGTTGAACAGTTCTTTTTGGAAAGTTTATGCAAATCTGGAAACTGATTATAGTTTATATTTTTAAAAGTCAACTATTGATCCAAAGATGGTAAATTGATAATTGGTGATTTGATTGATATTTGATTGAGTTTTCGTAGCTAGATGATCTTCCTCTATCTCCTAAGAATGTGTCCAGATTTGTATATCAATTTCGAAAATATTTCAAGATTTAAGAAGATTGATTCTCAGACTGATTTTGCGTGAGCTAATCCTAACATCTATGTTGCAGTTATTGTTGCAACAAGGATCTGCAACAAATTTAGTTCAGCGAATTAATTGAAGAGGTCGTCAAGCTGTTAACATTTTGCTTATTTATTCAAAGTGTCTCTCGAGTCTTTGCACACCTTTTGATTAGTTTTTTCTAAGTTGTGAGATAGATGTGTAAACTTGTATTCAGTGAGATGATTTGAGTGTTTTTAGGAGAAAAACTTAGTTAGAAGGATTTCAATGTTAAAAAGTCATGGGGATCTCGCTGTTCAAGTCCATTGGCAAATTACAAGTTCATAGGCGTCTTCTTAGAGAGAGAGTTTCGGGTAGATTAAGTCCAATTGAATTGTAAAAGAGTTCTTACTGGATTATTCATCATCTGGACGTGACCTCGTAGTGTAGGTTGTGACCAAACCGTAATACCATTTCTCTCGTGTTCTTTTATTTTATATCTCTACATTATTTATATTGTCTTACAAAGTATTAAAAGACTCAAACCGGTACCTATATATATATATATAGATAGATACACACATCAGAAATCATGGTTGAGACTGACCAACAAGAACATCCTTGTAAGGAGTAGTTGAGGCAGGCAATACTTTGACTTCCTCCTCAGCTGATTGCCTCCTCCTCCTGTGATTTTCAAGAAGGAAAGGGATCTGCCCTTCCCTTGCTTGGATAAGTCTCTCTGGAGCTCCTCCTCTCAGTTTCTCTAGCCTTAGACCATCAACTTGTTGCATCTTGAACACTTTGACCACGTTCATGAACCCCCCAAACACTAAACATAGGCTCCCAAATATGCCTAGCCAGATCCATGTCATACCCTGCATTGATCACATGATCACTTGATTTACTTCTCTCATTATTAATTATCAAAATACGTAACTCCTATAAATGTTTTTAGGTCTTTCTCATTTTGCCTTAACTTAAAAAACTCACACTTTATCACTAAATTTCAAATTAGTCACACTTAACCATTTTTGTTAAAATTTTATGTTAAAGACATGTGATCACACTTAATCCTTTCATTTTCCGTCTGTTTTATGAAAATTTTAAAAGAAGAGGTTGGGTGGGACTAATTCAAAATTTGAGAGGAAATGCCGAAAAAAAACAATTTTGGGATGTCACAAAACAAATCCATGTGTAATACCTCCAAGTTCAAAACTAGTTTACTTGTATCCCGGTTTAAAAAAAAAAAAATCAATGTTTTGATATTTATAGCGCGTTTAGAACTCATTTTAAAATAATTTTATTTTTTGTATGAAAATAAAAATGAAAACGTTTTCAACCTCAGACAGAAATCGTTTTTGAAAATGCGTTTAGTAATTTTATCGAGAGATTATTTTTCAGTATAAAAATGTCCATTAATATCTTTGTTTCTCTCTCTGCTCGAGAGAGGAAAAAACGAAAACAAAAAATGAAAAACGACTAAAAGTCATTTTTCATTTCTCTCTCATTTTACACTAAATTAAAATATCGTTTTCATTTCCGCTTTTTGTCTTTATTGCGCCAAACGCCGTTTTAAAAACATTTTTATTTTTTCTTTTTCAAAAAAAGTGAAAAATAAAAACGAGATCAATTCCAAACACGCTTTTCTTACCACTAATTCTAAGCCATGGTGATCAACTCCGGCTTGCTCGCGGCGGTTGAGGATTGCGGCTGTCATGAAGAGAACGCTGGCCATCAAGAAAGGAATGTGGACACTCTGCTGCAAGATTTGGAGATGGCTATCGGCTCTCTCGTATATTTGGCACGAGTTGTAGATCGAACCGATTAGCCATAGGACAGGGCCGGCAATGAGCATGTTCAGCGTGTGCTTCTCTAACTTGGAGTACCCATAACCTTTCTCTTCCTGAAATTTTACATACTCAAATCAAATGATCAAATTGACTGCTTCACACTATAACCTTTTGTCTAAAACTTGTTGGATTAATTAACACATATTAATGCCTAAAGAATACACATGTCGTTTTACAATAACACAACCTCACAGAAAATCTTTCGTAATTAACCCACAGAAATTAGAACAAAGAAAACACACTCCACTGCATGTGTTTGGAACTCGTTTAAAAATAATTTTGTTTTTTGTACCAAAATGAAAACGTTTTCAATCTCATACAAAAATTATTTTTAAAAATGCGTTTGGTAGTTTTATCAAGAGAATGTTTTCAGTATAAAAAAATCCATTAATGTCTCTCTCTACTCGAAAGAGAAGAAAACGAAAACAAAAAATAAAAAACGACTAAAAGTCATTTTTCATTTCTCTCTCATTTTACACTAAATTAAAAAATCATTTTTATTTTCGTTTTTTATCTTTAATTGTGTCAAATACCGTTTTAAAATCATTTTCATTTTTTCTTTCTCAGAAAATGCGAAAAATTGAAAATAAGAACAATTCCGGCAACTGTATCTTTTGTTGTTTTTTTGCACTTCCACTTTTGTAAATGTATATGAGCTACATTATGGAAATAACGGCGAATCTTCGTTCTTGTCTTCTAAGAGTCTTTCCATTTTATGTCAGGCCAAGATGATGATGATGATATATATGATAAGAATAGTACTATATACATTTTCTTCCATCATTTTTCTTGTAAAACTACATAAATAAATCTCGTTTCTTTTTAACTCCATCTAAAAATTAATAAAAGGTACATTCTGATCAATCCCACCCAAAAAGAACAAGAACAATAAACCGATAACAAAGACTAATTTCTCAGTCCCCCAAGTTAACGAATTGATAATTCAAAGTTTGACTAACTCACTGATATAACAAATATTAGTTAGTTAAAAGTTATAAATTAGAATTAGAATACTAAATCAAATTAACCAAACACAAACGTATAAACCTTTTTTTTTAATCTACCTAGCAAGGATATATGTCCTACCTAATCCTATCCAAAAAGGAAAATAATTATGATAATAATAAAGAAAGCTAAAAAAAAAAAAAAACTCAAAAAACTTGAAACATTTTATGTATATCTATATATACGTACATGATACACATATACATACAGTCTACAATATATACCTGGATAAAGAGAAAAAGAATGCCCAAGAAGGAAAGAAGAGAGCCCAAGGCCTGAAGCAAAGGAACGGCAAACTCGACGAGAACGAGCTGCAAATCGTACTCCATCAAACCCAATCGATAATCGTAGGCAGCCAGATGAGCCACCAGGTCGTGGACGTTGGCGGCCAATATCAGCAGCAGCGCCATCATCAGCACCACAAGGCTCGACTTTGCCTCTCTCGAGAACAGAGCCACAAACCCACCCAGAAGCACCACCGTCGCGAACAGATACAGCCCCGCGTTTATGTATTCCCCTCGGTTCCGAGACCCCCGGGGTCCGTACACCCGTGCATCGCGAGCCGACGCTAGCTTCACCATTTATATATAATGTATATGTATGTATGTAGAGGAACTTAGAGTACTGTGTTTTGGTTTGAGATCTGTTACGTTATATATTATATGATTTGTTCTCTTGAGTTTCATTTCAGAGAGAATTGGTCAAGAAGGAAAAGATTGATGAGTCCCTTTTTTGTGGGGCGAAAATAATAATAATAATAATAATAAAGAAAGAGAAAAAGAGATGAGCTTGTCGGGTTTACGTGTCGCCCTGCATGGTGGTACATGAAGCAGAGAAAGCTGCTAGTTCTTTAGAGTTCTGAATATTGGTTTTTTGACAAGTGGCATTTGGCACGAGACTTTCATTTTTCTTTTTTATTTAGGCTAAAATAGTGAATAAAATTTTAAGAGACATTTAGTTGATGGATTATAATTATGAGATTAAAATTATTTTTTATTTATGTGTATATTTTATAAAAAAAATACTATAACGAATCACGAATCATAATTTAAATCGGAGTATGAATTTTTCAATCAAACAACTCTTCAATGTGTACGTGTTTTCCTGAAAAATGTTAAAGAGCAACAAGATTGTGCTCCACGCAAAATAGGAATTCCTACCCGAAAACATTTGCCTTTTAGGAAAATTCACATATTTGATGATCATGTTAATTTGGATCAGATTTCCCTTCTCAATCTGGATTACACCTACCTCGAAATTTCTCAAAAAATTGATTTTTAAATGATAATAAGTAGTTAATGATCTTTAAGTCAAATAACTTGAAATAGTAACAGAGTACGAATCTCGTATTTTATATTAAAAAAATATGACAAGTGAAATGACTGAATATAAAAACATAAAACAATTTATCAAGAAAAATCAAAAGGTAATACTTAGACATCGTTCATTTCACCGATTCAAGTTTAGAATTCGAGTTTTGCTACAATAAAAAGCTCTCAGAAATAATTACATCTAACTTTTTTGCTACAGTAAAAAGCTCTCACATAAAGTCACATCTCAATTCAAATTAAAAACTCAAATCAGCAAACTAAACGGACCTAATTTATGATCTAATCATAGTTTCAATCTTTTGTTTTCACATTAATATTTTAAGTAGTGTATCATAAGTTTATAAACCAAAAAAGATAGTATGTTATATAGGAAAAAGAAGGTGTTATATTATATATAATTTTCTTTAAAAATATTCTTTTTTTAGAAGTTCTTTAAAAGTATTCGTGATCATATAAGGTCCATTTTATTTCACTAATTTAAGTTTAAAATTTGAGTTTTATTACAGTAAAATAAACTCTAAAAAATAGTCTTATTTAATGTTTTTACTATAATAAAAAATTATTACATAAAATCACATCTCAACTCAAATTAAAATTTTAAATCAGCGAACTAAACGGCCTCTCTTAATATATGTAAAGATGGGATTTGCTTACAATTTTTGTGAAAGAAATATGTACTTATATAGATGGTCATTGCTCATTGGTGGGTAAAAAGGCAAAGCGTGAAAGAACGACATCGTTTGGTGTCTTTCATATCTTCATCTCTCTCTCACATGTCAGTGAAATTCCAGTTGCTTGGGACGTGGAAGAAATACAACCGATGGCGATGGAAGGAGAAATATTTCAAGCCGTTTTCGAGCTTATTGTCTCAAGCTTCGACACCATACCATAACGACGCGTTTTCCACCAACGTTTCCATGACCCGTCTCTGTGAAAATGGCCGACTAGACATTGCCCGGAAGATGTTCGACGAAATGCCACACAGAACGGTTGTCTCGTGGAACACGATGATTTCCGGGTACTCAAAACGGGGGAGATATAACGAGGCTTTGTCTTTAGTTTCTCTGATGCACTGCAGCAATGTAAGGCTCAACGACACGACATTTTCGAACATCCTTAGCGCCTGTGGGCGCTCAGGGAGGGTGGGAGAAGGAAAGGAAGTTCATTGCTTGGTTTTGAAGTCGGGAGCGGAGAGTTATGGCCGTGTGGGGAGTGCTTTGTTGTACTTTTACGCGAATTGTTTTCGCCTCGAAGATGCCAAACGGGGTTTTGACGAGCTTAGCGGCGGGAATGAGATGTTGTGGAGCGTGATGCTTGCGGGTTATGTTCAGTGTAATATGTTGAGTGATGCCATGAAGTTTTTTGTGAAAATGCCGAAGAGGGATGTTGTGGCGTGGACTAGTTTGATTTCGGGGTATGCGAAGAGTGAGGAGGGGTGTGAGAGGGCTTTGGAGTTGTTTAGGTGGATGAGGTATGATGGTGAGGTGGTGCCTAATGAGTTCACTTTCGATTGTGTTATTAGGGCATGTGGGAGAGTGGGGGTGTTAAGTGAAGGAAAGGCTGTTCATGGGCTTGTGGCTAAAAACGGGTTTGAGTTTGAGCAGTCAGTTTGTTGCGCGTTGATTGAATTTTATCGCAGCTGTGGGGCTATCCATTGTGCCAAAAGAGTTTATGATGGACTAGAGAATTCTTATGTAAATGCTACTAGTTCACTTATTGCGGGGCTTGTATCCATGGGAAGAATCCAAGAAGCTAAGATGATTTTCGATAGGCTTAAAGAAAAGGATTCTGTTTCTTGTAATTTGATGATGAAAGGGTATGCCATGAGTGGCCAAGTGGAGGAATCGAAGAGATTGTTTGAGAACATGACGCACAAAACTATAATCTCTTCGAATACCATGATTTCCGTCTATTCCAAGAGTGGAGAAATTGGAAAGGCTTTAAATCTTTTTGAAGAAACCAAAGGGAAAAGAGATCCTGTAACTTGGAACACGATGATATCAGGTTATGTTCAGAATTATCTTCATGAGGAGGCTTTGAAACTATATTTGACAATGCGCAGATTATTTGTAGAGTGTACAAGATCAACGTTCTCTGTTCTGTTTCATGCATGTTCATGCCTTGGATCTCTTCAACTAGGACAATCCCTTCATTCCCAGTTGATCAAAACCCTATTTGAATCGAATGTTTACGTTGGGACATCCCTCATAGACATGTACTCAAAATGTGGAAGCATAACCGATGCTCATAAGTCATTTATCTGCATCTCTTCACTCAATGTTGCTGCTTGGACAGCTCTTATTAATGCTTACGGACATCATGGTTTTGGCTCTATGGCGCTCCTGCACTTTAAACGTATGCTAAAGCTAGGAAGCTCCCCAAATGCAGCTACTTTCGTTGTGATTCTATGTGCTTGCCGTTATGCTGGTCTAACCGATGAAGGGATGAGAATTTTCAGAACAATGAGAAAAGATTATGGGGTAAACCCAACTTTAGAACACTACGCTTGTGTGGTGGATCTACTTGGTCGGTCAGGCCGTCTACAAGAAGCTGCAGAGTTTATCAAAGAGATGCCTGTTGAACCTGATGCGGTTGTCTGGGGAGCACTGCTTAATGCTTGTTGGTTCTGGATGGACATGAAACTCAGTGAGAAGGTGGCAGAGAAGATGTTTACCTTGGAACCAAAACCATTGTATGCTTATATAATTTTGTCTAACATATACGGTGTGCTTGGGAAGTGGGGTGAGAAAATGACACTGTGGAAGAGAATGGGGAGCTTGAAAGTGAAAAAGGGTCTTGGATGTAGTTGGATTGAGCTTAACAACAGGGTTCACGTATTCTCTGTAGAAGATAAAACACATCCTCACTCTTGTGTTATTCATAGTACTTTGGAGCATCTGACAGTAAATGTAAACTGTATTGTTCAATTTGATAGTATTTCTTGCCAACATTGTCTTCTGGTTTGATTAATACATTATAATCTTACTGCGCATAATTATAATAGTTCTCAAGTACCCCTTTTGTGTTCTTGTGATATAAACGTAAATTGGAAACTAACACAATGTTTTGTATAACATCCACATAAGGTTTATGTTCCTCCTTTCTCTACTGTTATTATTTTCTTGTTAACATTTTTTATTTGATTCATTATAGATGAATTATTTTTGGTTTCTTCAGTTAATATTATACGGTGCGAGTTGATTGCAGCTAACCGAACCTATCTGTTTCACCGAATTAGGCATCTAGTGAACCTTGTTCCAAAAGGGTTCTTCTTTTTCTTTTTGAAATGGTTCTAAAAGGGTTCTCGATGATACCATCAATGTGATCCTGTAGGAACTGATTCTTTCAATTGTTTCAAAATGTCGTGGCTTGGATAGCAGGTTCTTAAACCCGATAATCTAGACAGCGTGGTGACATATTTTCCACAATTTATCTTTGATTTCTGTTCGTTAAATTTCATGGTTGTGAGTCATTCAGCACAAGGGAATGGTGATGGATCATATGCATATCTAAATGCTGGATTGGTTCTTGGAACATATTCTTTGTTAAACTTACGCATTGTGACTGGAGAAGCATGTTCAGTTGTTCTTCTCACGTCCAATGCCTTTTCAATGTGGGAAGATTATGAGGATTTGCTCATGTTCCTTAAAAAATTCCTTTTACCTTTTGGGCAATGCAAAGTTTATTGCCGTCTTAAAGTGTGGCATCATTAACTCTTTTTGTTTAAGGTTTTATTTGGTTGGTTATTGCTAATGTTAAGCTGCTGCTGAGCTGATAAAAATTAAGCTCAGATTATCAAAGTTAACCAAAATATTTTACATTTTATGGAGCTGTAATAGCTGCACCAAGTGGGTTATTTTGTATGCATGCTCGTTTTATAATTGCATCGAAGGATTCACAAAAACTCTTATCATATTTTATGCTACAGAGCACCGGTGGTATTGAACACCACTCTCTAATAGAAAAATATATAATTGCATTGATTCACAAAAACTCATCATATTCTATTAGTGGTGACACTCTAAGCATTTTTCTTTATGTAGGATGAATAATATGGAGTGGGTAAGTGGAGAAGATGGCTTTTTTTCCTCTGTAATATCAGTATTTCACAAAGCTAGCGTACGCCAAATAAAAGGAAATTCTAATGGAACAAAGTGATTTTTTTTTAAAAAATAACTTTTTACCCTTTCAGCTGTTTCAGCCATCCTGTCAGAGAATCATAGTTTATTGCCGCACTAAAAATAGTTTGAGTTCTCCCGTCACAGTCAAAGCAGATTTGTGCTCATGCACTATAAACATACACTGAAAAATACACAAAAAATGAAAAACAAAGTCCTATTTTTTTCTTTTTTTTTTCTTTCTTGGCCATGTGGAAACTGTTGGACAACACAACAGGACACAAATATAATCAAACTTCAGTAGTGCGTTTCATCATCTAACACTTGCCGTTGATATTAATGTCATCAATCACAGGCTGCAGCTGTTTGGTTTTGTCATCATCATTAATATTGTTATTGTTATTATTATTATTCTTTTCAAGTTCCCATTTTGCTGGTTCTTCCGAAACTCCATTATTCCTGTACTTGCAGTAGAGCACAAGTTGAAGAATGCCTATTGGGCAACCGACCAAATTAGGGGACTGCCAAATGAACATAAGAAGATTTGAGTCGATAATATATGAAGTAATACTCAAAATGTCCTTAGAAAATAATACCTCAAAATAAATGTAACATTGGAAATTAATTAAGGTTAATCATAATTGAAGATCTTATAATTATACTAACTGCAAGAACGAGATCGTGGCCTAGTAGTCCATAAGCCAGCCAAAGTACACTAGAGACGAAAGAGAAAAATGACAAGTAGAAGGGCATAAACTCCACGCTCTTTGTAGTTATGACTCGTTTCTGCATGTAGTAAATATCGCCAGAAAATTATTCACTTGCATGTAATACATATGTGATGTGGGATTCGGATCTCCTGTCCAATTTTTGACGTTTGAAATAGTGTGTAAACCAATTATAATAATCACATTATTTAGTGAACTCGAGTGAAAAGATGTGTAAAAATAAGTCAAAAAGCATTGCGAATGTTTTAAATAATATGATATAAGTTAATTGGTTGGATCCATTTGAGACAACAAAAAATTGAACAAGTGATCTGAATTTCTGTATATGGTTTTTCTTTGCTTAGAATTGAAAGAAAGAACTTATATTTTAGTTCTATGAGGAAAGGATGAGAGTAATTACCACAACCACCAATGGAGAACAATACATAGCTACTGAGGCCACAATCCCTACACTTCCCACAAAAACCTTTCTATGGTGGTGATCATGGAAAACAGACGCCGATATAAGCGCGGTAATGCAGAAAACTGCGACGACGGTGATTGCCGTCACGACTACCTTCAACTGCAGTGCTCTCATGCATGGAACGCTCAAAAAAGTTAAATAAGAAATTCCTTCATTCTTTGCACGCAATTATTAGGGAATGAAACTACAAGTAAGCAACGATTAGTAGTACTTGCCTTTCTTTTAGCTGTTGCAAACCATAAATATATGAAAATGAAGGAGGTTTCAAGAAGAACACCAAGGCCATTGACGGTAGCTACTGGGAAATTTTCCCACTTGTAGCTCACAATAGGAAGTCCGTACCAAGTATAAAGGAGACAGTTTAATAGGGTAATGGTGTAAGGGACACAAGAAAATTCTTCTGTGCTTTTCTTCCTTATGACCCTTGAAAAAGTTGATCTGGAAACAACAGAGAAAATTGTTTAATTAAGTACGATAAAATTCTAAACATGTGTCAGAGAAAACTAAAAGTAAATCAATCAAGCATGCATACAATGCACTAAAATATATACTAAATAAGTACGATCTTGACATTACATTGGAGCAACATAAAGCAACAAAGAAGCAGCATTGCCTGCAAACAAAAATCATGCATATTAGACAAAGCTCATTACTTTAATAAACGTTTAATAAGCAAAGAAGAGCTAATTAAGGAACACTAATCATTGTTAAGCGATCGAATTAATACCCATGACGCCAACGGCGAGGCGCAATTTTTCCGCCATGAGCAGCAGCAGTCTCAAGGCAAGGAAATCCCAATAACAAGAAGAATACTTTAAGTACTATATATCAGCTGAAATAAGCTAAGAAATCTGCTTGGACTCATGTTTAACCTAAAGGGGCTATATATAATATTCATATTGGAGAGGGGCAAAGAGGATAAAATAGGAAATTCAAAGTTACAAGTGGTGATGTCTACGTCTTCATAAACTTGTGGCCGCCAATGGAGTTAATTAAGTCACGATCTCCAACATGTAATTATAGACCATAGTAATTGCTAATCCAAATTTGTTAGTTCTTGGCATTCAGATTAATTAGAGCATACAAACACATATAGAAAGAGTTGATTTATATAACTTCTAGTGATGCGCAGATGTCACCGGATTTAACCGCTTGATACAATTTTCTTCAGAGGTACTATATGTTTGGAAATTGATTGATTTAAATATGCAAGATATACTACCAAGTGCTTTGTGCCTTTTGGACTCCAAAACATAATGTTTCACCAATAATTTTGATCTCCATATGTATTTTATTATTCAATACAAGTGATGCTGTTTTCAAGAATGATGTGGCTTCCATTTTAACTAAATATTGGAGCTATATGGGACAAAGAAGAACCTCATTTAATTAGAGATATCAAAGGGAATGCCTGGTTTTCACAAGGTATTAAACTTATTTTTTCTTGATTAATAATGAAGCACATCTCGTGGCTCACAAGTAACAAGAAAATCTCATAAAAAAAGCTTACAATAGTGGATTCTCAAGTCTGGTTATGGTTGGTGTTTAAAGAATTTAATTGCGCCTCTTCCTATCAGTTATAATTTTTAATAGAAATAGTTGTGAGAACAATCTTTAGTAAGAATGGTTGCATCAATCTCACATCAAAATTTCTAGACGACCTTTTACCCAACATTGAAAGTTATCGCACAAATTTCCAACACAACACATGATAACTTAATATGGTTCTGAAGATAAACATATGAAAAGCAGAATTTTTCCGAAAATCTTGTGGCTGTGCTTTCTAAAGAAGATTAAATAAGATTTATTCCAATAGTACTTCATCTTTTGAAGTGGATTGTAGCTCATGGTCTTGCTGGAAATAAGAGAAATCATATTAAATTTGTATTTATTCAAGCAAGATCCTAATAGGCAGTAAAAGTATATCATCAAATTTTTTTTTGTCTCCATTCAATTACTTTGAGATTGATGAAAGGAAACAATTTGCTAATGAAGGTGATATCAGCATATACTTTTAGACTGTCTTCCATTCATTTATATGTTTTTTTTTTTTCTTTTCCTTTATGCCTCAACGAGATCTAAATATGATTCCACGTGATCCTCAACCCAAACAAATGGGTTTCTGATACTTTTATCAATGTCAATTGCCATGATTCTGGCCTTGAATGTTCGACAGTGTAATGGAATACTTTCTTAGCAATTATTTTTGTGATTTTATATTAATATTGTTTCTTGTGCAGCAATATAACGTCTAAAGTAATAGTGTAACAAGCAAGAAATTGTGGCCACGTACATATACATATATATTACATAATGAATATGTAGACGTGTGTACGTGGTAAAAAGATATATATGTAAATGCAAAACAATATTAATGTTTTAAAACAACGATTGTCGTTTTGATATAATATCAGATTGGTTAAACTTCAAGAAAATTGTCCGAGAGCATTTAGAGTATATTCTCAAAGGCTAACTTTTAATTTCGCCAAAACATAGTGGTTGTCTCACTTTATTCCCAATTAAAATCACGCAAAATTCTTCCATAATTAGCTTATGATAAGTTAAAAATTTTGATATTTCTGTCATTGAGACATCAAACTTTTAACCATAAAAATCACATCTGGGTGATCAGGTGATTGTTTGATAAAGGACAATATAGTAAAAGTAAACAAAATTAACTTCTATTGTTTGATAAATTTTTCTCGCTCTAACTCTAAGTGCCACCTCCTACTTTTTGCTTGTAACTAGTGGCGGAGCCATAATTTTAATTCAGGAGGGGCCTAAACTAAAAACATGAAAAATGCTAACGAAATCAACTCCTAATATTTTTAGATGAATAGCATATATGTATAGACTATTGAACATACTTTAGTAATAAAGATTTTAGCAAGTAAATTAGATAAGAAAAACTATTTATGAGGTACATAATATCTATGAGAAAATAGTAGTTGCAAGTGTCAGAAGAGGAAAAAAAAATCTTTAAATATGCATGGCACATTTGAATGAATACATGTTACTTCAATAAGGGCAAATTAGAGAAAATGTGCGTGTGAGAAAGATGTAATTGAGAGGGTTGTTTGAAAAAAATTCTTAATTAGGGACGCACTTTGAGAAAAAATATTTTAATGTGTCATTTTTTTTATATAGCTTAGATTATATCCAAAAATATTTTAGAAGGTACCAATTTAAAAGAAAAATTGTTTTCATAAGAATAAGTTAGAGAAAAAAATCAATTAGGTACATTTAAAGTATAAAATTTAATAGGAAAAGATTAAAAGAACAATAAAAAATAAGAAATAAAATAATTTGAGATTGGATTTTGTGAGGATATATTTAAAATTTTTATTGATAAGGGGGGCATATATGAAAAATTTTGAGAAAGCATATAGGGCCTCAACTCCCTCCGCACCCTTATATTGCCTTTTACCAACTAATCAAGTGAAGTGCACATAATTAAAACCATTAAAGATTGACATTTTATTGATGGATGTATCAATTAAAGTTGTAATTTATGATAAGTTGGGAGACAGTTTTGTACCATTTTAAGTTGTAGATAGCAAAATGAGACAAACCTTATTCTTTGAGTGTTGAATTTGAAATTAACTGATCTATTCCAAACATGAATATTAAATTAATTTTCGGTGGTGATGTAAAAAAGAGAATCCTTATCACTTCAACGAACACTGAACTTGTGCTCAAATGCGCACATACATGATGCCAAAGCATTTAATTCAGGAAGGGAAAAAAAGAAAAAACCTTGAATTAACTTGGGATTGGGAGAGATTAGCTGATCAAACAAATTTGTTTCATGAACTTTTGATACAAATAGACTAATAGAGCTAATTGTCGCTATCATTTTTCGTCAAAATGACAAATCTCTGGTCTTAATTGTTACCACGTTTCTCATGAGATGTGTTTTTCATATTATTCGGCAAAACACTACTATTCTAGTAGATAATGAGAGAATCGCGCGCTGGTGCTTAAATCTATGTCACATGTGATCTCTTCCCAAGTTTTTAATCAGCAATATTAATTTCAGATTAATGTGTTATGCTTCTTCTGTGCTAATCTTGGAGAAAAATTTGTTAGATCAGTAGCTTTTCTTTTTTTTTTTTTTTTTTTTTTTTTTTTTAAAGGACCCACTTGAATCAAGAAGGGCCAACCTGCGAATTTGACGTAATTGCTTACATTAGTTTGTAATATGACACCAAAACAAAGTTGGTCATGCCATTTTTTTTTCTTTTGATATGGGGGGGGGTTTTTTTTTTTTTTTCTTTGATGAAATTTTGGTGTAGAATTAGTACAAATGTCATTCTCTACTATAGCTAGATGTTCCCTAGATAAGCCACTTTGCAGTTACGAAACTAGTCAGTTGATTCTCTCTTTTTTTTAACCAAAAAAAAAAAAAAAATTATATTGTGTATCATGCCACAGAAGGATCTGGAGCCATGCATATAGTTTTCAAGGTTTATAGCAAAAGGAATAACCGTAGAGATTTCTGTGTAGAAACTTGAATGAAGTAAAATTGTAAATAAGAAGATAGCTATTGGTTGAGCATTGCACAGAAAAGGGACATGTAGTCAATCCTTGTTTTTATTCTCTTTCTCCCTCTTTAAAAACCGTAAATGGTTTTAAGTAATTTAGAGTGCCTGGAATCATGCCCTGCGCACTTTTATATATAGCTAACACATTCAGTGAGGTTAAGGTGACGCACTTCTTATAAAGAATTAGGACCCTAATCTCGACAGTAAAACTTTCAACGAACATTTATGTCTGTATCTGGAAAATCCCTTTGATAACATTCAATAGAGTATCTAACGTTTGCCGCGCACACCGATTCCCAGAGTTTTATATTAGAAAAGAAAAGGGTTTTGAATAATTTCGTGAACCTTTTCTGGTGGATAAATGTTAGCATTAGATAATTGGGATAGGATCCGCCTAAAAGGTTCACAATTAATTTGGTAGGTGCAAATAATGTGGAAGACCACAATCTGAGAAATGCTACGCTCTTTTTTTTTCTTTTTTTTTTTGAAAAATAATTTTCATTGTCGCTTGTTGAAGATCATCAGCTATATAGCTTTAGGTGTTACTATTGCATGTGTTGGCTTTTGTATACAACATGATAAGATCATAAATCCGTTTGATCTCTTGTCAGTGGAAGCGAAACTATAAATTAATATTGTTACATATATATATAACTGAATCTTATCCACAAAGGTTTGCACTTTGCACCAATTTTTGTATGTATCAGTCCAGCCAAAGAGTCATGCAGACACAAGGCATTTTTATCTGTCGATTCAATTTGGAACTAAAAAATATATATATCCCCAACTTTCCAATATTGCGAAAATGCAAGGTTCTTTGATGAAAAAAATATTCTACTATGGTGCCATCTACATGGAGCATTATCCTTCCTTCGAATGTTCTTCTCTACTTTACAAGATTCCCTGCTAAGAGATATCATGATTAATGACTCTCCTATTGTACTTATGTACACATCGGTGTGGGTGTGGTTTTAATGGTTATTTTAATATTTATTTATTAATAAATATTATTGTTTTAGTTATAAAATATTAATTCGACAATTGTAATAAATTAAATAGTTAATCAAAATTTTTTTATAAAATTGAATTTTTATTACGTCACGTCATTAAATTTTTATATTTAAATATGATTACCGATAAAAAAATAACAATTGAAAACTCATCCATATATATTTTATGCACTTGTGAAATGGATAATAAGCATTAATAAAGACAAAAGA